CGTTATACTACAATTTCAGACGCCAGATCAGCCGAATTAATTTATAGATCATCACACAGCAGCCGATCATACCAGCGCTTCCTGTCTGTGCTGGGTTTTGCGGTGAAGGGGCTGGAGGTTGAGGATCCTGAGCGGAATCACTAATGCTCGACGTTTTTTGCCCGTCACATTCTTGATAGTTTCCTCCCTCGAGGTTTCACGAGGGAGGAGGGTGCCGCCTGTCCTGCTATGACCTTTTTCATTTCATTGCAAGAATTCAGTCCTTATTGGGCCCATTCTCCTTCACGTAGGAGGTCTTGGGATAAAACTTCATTATTTTAACCAACAGCTTAGCTTCTCGCTTCCACTGCTTGAGTCACCTGAATTTGGCGCCGATTAAGCTAGGTTTATGTAATCTCCTTCCCGTGTCCGTATTACACTATTTTATGAATTGGCCTAGTGACTGGTCGATTGGCCCGCAATATATAAATTATTTGTTTTCTATTCAATTTTTGTGCACGTTTTCTTTACAAAAAATTGGTGTCATTCTAATTTGTAGCTGGGTGCGACCGGTGCTGACGGAAAATACGGACGAACCGGAATCTGACTATAATATTGACGCCATCGGCGAACTGGTTCGCGGTCCCGTAAGTCTGCGTCTTTGGAACATGCATAAAGCCACCCATTTTGTTACCCACTATTAATGTCGTTACGAACGAAAAGTTATTGAATTCTCCGACGTGAGCTATATACATACAGATCAGGTAGTCCCAGAAGTACACAGAAACCTATTGTCGGTAAATAGTTGCACAGGTTTTATTTGTTGAAGTGGGAGTTTGCCTTGGACCGAACAAGCTTCCGATAGCTTTCTGGTTAGCCTTTCAGCTGCTGGTAAAAGTTATTAATCGTGTTGCCGATGTGGCTAACAAACTCCCGTTGCTATAATAGAACCCTCGGTATGAAAGCGTTCAGGAGCGCCGACGTGTATCGTTCCAAAAGGATGGCATGTGAGAATGAGGGAAAAAGGAATACTGTTTCAAACGAGAAAACCTTCTCTTTATTTGTAACACTCCGTAAGGGAGTCCGAACGCATCGGTGCGGATGCATTACATCTTTGTACGTCCCAAATCAATAGTGTCCATGATTTACATTTCTATTTAGTGTCTACTAGTTTAATTTCAGTAGCTTGATATGCGTTGTATATAATCTCTGTGATCATTTGCGATAACATCCTCCTACTTCCTCTAATACATTCTCCTCAAAGTGAAGTTGTCTGCAGTGGCAGTTTGCCTGAATCCACACATTCTTGTTTTCCTCTTCTGCCTAAAGAAAGCCGGGCTAACCCTACCTGAGGGTCAAGCAGGGGAGGAGGAGGAAGAAGAGGAGGACTACTTCCCCGAGGACGAAGAAGAAGAGGAATCGGCCAGCCTCGAGGACGAGGACAACCGCAGTGCTGGTGATGGTGAGGGCAACCT